AAAAAAAAAAAAAAAAAAAAGGCAAGCACTCTCCATGAAAAATCTCACATTTTGATGATGAAAATGTGTCCTGTACCACAGTAACTAAAAATGTACTATTTGGTATAGTAGTTACTTGCCATATGTCTCTCTATGAAATAGACACTTGAACACTTGAAATGTGGCTAGTATAAATTGAAATATACTACAATCAAGGACACATTAGATTTTTGAAGACAGTATTGGGAAAGAATATTAAGTATCTCAAAAAATGTTTTTTGCTCTACCACTGAGTTAACTCTCCAGCTCAAATTTCTTTTTAATTGAAAAGTATCAAATTTATTTCATAGCTAGTTTCAAATTTTTAAATATTATTACATGTTAATATTTTGGCTGTATTGGACTACATCAAATATTAAAATTAACTTCATCCTTTCAAAATGTAGCTTACTAGGTTTGTGGTTTGTGATATGGTTCTTACTGTATGTTGGGTCATGATATCAAAAATAGATACTGTATATACAATTTTTAGCCTTCACTGAGATTGAATAAAAAGGTGGACATTTTATTTTTAGAGGATAATCATATTTTAAAAGTAATATTAACATAAAATTTTAATAGCTAACAAGGTAATACTACTTGATTTTGCAGAATTTCAACTAGAAATTTTGTTGCTTAGCTTAATACCGTGAATATAGGTTATGAAAGGACCTGAGTTTGATCCCTGGTACCAAAAAAAAAAAAAGAATGTAGGCTATGAAAATTCAGTCCTTGAATGAAGCAGTATAGTATTCCTTTCTTATTCCTGCCTCTATTTTTCTTCCAGTCTTTAAGATGGGCTTTTTATCTCCAAATGAGTTTTTAAAAATTTTTAGTAGTATTTAAACTTTATTTCAATTTTTTATCCTCATATCTGTCTACTTTATACTTAATACTTGATATTTTCTTTAAGATTTCCACAACTGGTGTAGCAATTTGAAGAAGTCTTTCTCAGCCCTAAAATTATGTCTCCTCCCATTTAATACTTTATCTTTTTGGGGGTTTACTAGGGATCAAGCTCAGGACCTTGCGTGTGCAGAACCATTGAACTGAATCCCTGGCCCCTAACTCTTTATCTTTTATTATGGCATAAGTGCAGAGAAGCTAGGTCTTAATTTTTATTTCCACTTTGCCATTGTTTTAAATGCCATTTAGTGAAAAGTTTGTTTCTTTACTGATATGAAATGCCACTTTTATCATATATTGCTTTCTTTCATCTAATCAAGAATTTTTCTAGAACTAACAATGCCTAAATAGTGAATCTCTGCATCATTTAGCCCAAACTTGTAGCAACAAATGGAAGTATATTGAATATAAACAGTCCTAGCACTTTGCTTTACTGATTATTGCAGAGTTTTATTTTCATTCACTTGGATCTAATCTGGTTAGGTTAAACACTGAATTTCCTTAACAGAATAACTTTAAAATAGGCACTTTGATACTTCATTAACGTGGGGTTTTGAGCATAATGAATTTCATAATTATTTTCATTTACTGAGTTCATGTCAGAAAAAAGGCATCAGTGGATTGTTTCTCATTTTTTGTATTTAGGTGGTCTGTAAGTCTGATGCTCCAACAGGGGATGTTCTTCTTGATGAAGCTCTGAAGCACGTTAAGGAGACGCAACCCGCAGAAACAGTCCAGAACTGGATTGAATTACTCAGTGGTAAGCTGCTGTGTAAAACTCAAAAGTTGAATTGTTTTAAAGTTGTTAGAGTTTATAAAAATTTTAAAATCTTTTTGAAAGGAACCTGTAAAACTAAAATCTTGTTTTATTTAGGCAAACTTGCAGGTTTGTCAGAGACTTTGTTTTTATAAAATTTTATCTTTGTTATTTAATAATGAATAGATATTGAATGGGATGTAATGTTCTTCCTTGGAGCTCCATATTTTTTTTTTTTGTACTGGGAATCAAACTTGGGACCTTGTCCTTGCAAGGCAGGTGGTGGAACCACTGAGCTAAATCCCAGGCTCACTCCCATAATTTTTATTAGAGTTACTGTCCACAGCTTACTCTGTGGAGGTATCTTTAGATGCTTCACTCATCGTCTCTCTCTTGATGTGACATTACCCTGAGAATGGTGCATTGGGCTTGGTATGTATATATGTAGGTAGGTATTATTTCAGCACTGGGAATTGAACTTGGGACCTTGCACTTACCAGGCAGGCATGGTGCCACTGAGGTAAATCCCCGGCCTCTGGGGTTGGTTTTTAATAGCACATCCTAGAGCAAAGGGATTTGATGTAAAGCACAAGGGGATTGGATTGACATTTAAGATGATTATGTACTTCTTATATTTTCCTCAGTAACATTTCATGAATGAACCTTACAGTGTAAGTGCTAATTGAACTTGATGGTCAATTTGGGCTGCTTTTGGCCTTGTTCTCACTTCCCTAAGCAGTGAAAATACAAGTCTAAAACTTTTCTCAAAAGTATTCATGTATAATTAGGATTTTGTCAAAATAATGTCTGTTTGGATTAGCAATTTGAGTAAAACGTAACACTAACACCTAGTAAGTTTGTTTTTTTAAGACAATATTTATGGGTTTTAGGTTGATGGTCAGTGCCTAAACATGCCTGCGGCACTTTATTTGTTCTTTTGTTGTTTTTTGTTTTTTTGTGTGTGTGTGTGTTTTTGATTTTTGAGACAGGATTTCATTATGTGGTTCAGGCTGGCCATGATCCTCCAGTGCTAGGATTATAGACGTGTGCTACCACACCTGGATAGGTGTCTGTTCTTGACATAGATTAGGAGTAAGCTGCCATGCTAGCATGTGAGAAGGTGATCTAGAGTGGGAGAGGGAGAAAACACATTTCTTTTAAATTAAGAAAATGTGTGCTTCTTATCTAGTAAAAATACCCAATATATCAGTTTGCTGATTTAAAAAAAGTTTTTGGTTATTTTTTATTGTGGTGAAGTGTATATATAAAGTAACATTTACCATTTTAATAATTTGTTAAGTATACAGTTCTGTGGCCAACTTGCTGATTTTAAAAATTTTTCAAGTTTTAGTTGCTTCAAATAGTGTGTACTATCAAATACTAACTGCAAAAAAAACCAAAACAAAACAAAACTAATTGTAACAGTATCTTCATGGCTGCTAAGAAATTTAAAAAGGAGGTGCCCTGGGCGTGGTGGTGCACACCTGTAATCCCAGCACTTGGGAGGCTGAGGCAGGATTGCTGTGAATTTGAGACCAGTCTGGTCTACATAGTGAGATTCTGTCTCAAAAAACCAAAAAAAAAA